CTCCCCCTCAAAAAACAAAAATTTAAAATAACACTCCGTGTCAGTAAGTATGATGAATTTATTCAAGTACTGTAATTTAAGTTTGTCATATAAAATTGATCATGGTGATTGATTGATTGATGTTATCATGTTGGCATCAATAGAATATGGAATAAGGAAATTATACAGCGATACTAAAAATATAACATGGCTAAACAAGGTCCTGATTGAGTGAGTTAGATCATAAAATTGAGTTCTTTACTGACTTCTTTACTGAGGTCTAAATTAATAACCCCCCTCTATACTGCCCTCCTCTAATAAGCCACGCCCTGGAGGGGGCTGGCCGGGGGCTTATTAGAGGATTTATGGTAAGTATATAGTTTGCATATGTCACTGACAGAAAAAATAATTCTTCAAATTGTTTGAAGTACTTTTTTACCTTGGTTTTAACCTACCTACCTTGTTGCCTTTAGCAATAAATCCTTGCCAGGATGGTTCCCATGGTTGCCATAGTAATGCTGACTGCATCTACCTAAGGCCAGGCAAGAATAATTGCACCTGTGCTGCAGGTTATACAGGAGATGGAACAGTTTGCATTGGTATGATAATGTTGAATACTGATTGTGTATAAAAGCTTTTGAAAATCATTGTGTAGTGTTCTTAAACAGGTAGAACATTTTGAAGTCTGAATAACCCTTTCACTAGTTTTAATGATTGGTTGGTAAAAGCTAGAGAAAAACTCTTTTCATGGACTACTATGTAGAGAAGTAAGAGAGACATGCCACAAGGGTAAAAAGGACCTTTACAATTGTTTGTGCAGAAGGAGATCGAGCTAGAATTTAAGTTTTGTACAGTTTAGTCAAGTGGTGAAGTTTTTTGTTTTTTCACCTCAACAATATAAACCTCAAAATCAATTGAGCCAAATCCAACATTTTATATGTGGGAAAGTAAAGAACTAGGTTTGAAAACACCATAAACTGGAAAATCAGTATACAATTTCTCACAGTACATGAAATTTCCCCAGAGGAAAGAATTGAGAAATTATTTTGTATCTATTTCCAATTACTACTTATCCTTTAGCTACTGAATTTTTGCTCCATTTTTTCAGCTATAGACCCGTGCCAGAGGAACAATGGTGGCTGTCCATCCAGTTCTACTCAATGTAATTTCCTACAACCTGGAAAGGTATATTGACTGAAAAACTTAGAAACGTGAGCTATGCCATTCAGTGTTCTGTAATGTTTGGTAAATTTAAACTCAGTCATCAACAATTAATGAGCTTGAAGAGGATGCTATTTAGAAATAAAGAAAACCCCTTCAGGCAGCTTGTATGTTGGTTGATAATATATGTTTGCTGCTGGGAGATTGTCCAAGAAAATCAATAATTGTCCGAGAAGCAGAGCTTTGAGGAGGTTGGTGAGCTTATGGCAGATGAACGTGAAACTCACAAGGTGGATTTTTTCCACTGCATGGCTTTGTTTCTCTTCTGTGAAAACAATCGGAGGACAAGTATCAATGCAGACTGGGTTTTTAACTGTGGGATAAGTAATTTTACACCATTTGACATAAAGTAGCCTGAACTACAACATCACACACACACACACACACACACACACCCACACACACACACACACACACACACACACACACACACCCACACACACACACACACACACACACACACACACACACCCACACACACACACACACACACACACACACACACACACCCACACACACACACACACACACACACACACACACACACCCACACACACACACACACACACACACACACACACACACCCACACACACACACACACACACACACACACACACACACCCACACACACACACACACACACACACACACACACACACCCACACACACACACACACACACACACACACACACACACCCACACACACACACACACACACACACACACACACACACCCACACACACACACACACACACACACACACACACACACCCACACACACACACACACACACACACACACACACACACCCACACACACACACACACACACACACACACACACACACACACCCACACACACACACACACACACACACACACACACACGCACACACACACACACACACACACACACACACACACACCCACACACACACACACACACACACACACACACACACGCACACACACACACACACACACACACACACACACACACCCACACACACACACACACACACACACACACACACACGCACACACA